GTGGAGGCCTTGGGAACAGGATTTCTATAAGGACAAATATATCTGGAAGGCTGTGGTCCAAGGCCATTTTGCTGGCTGTAAGCGGGCTCTCCGGCACCAGAGAGAGCACACTGCTCTTCTTAAAACTGAAGGTGTTTATGCTTGAGATGAAACTGAATTCTGTCTAGGCAAGAGATGTGCTTATGTGTACAAAGCAAAGATCAACACAGTGACTCCTGGTGGCAAACCAAACAAAACCAGAGTAATCTGGGGAAAGGCAACTCGTGCTCATGGAAACAGTGGCATGGTTCATGCTAAATTCCGAGACAACCTTCCTGCTAAAGCCATTGGACACAGAATCTGTGTAATGCTGTATCCCTCAAGGACTTAAACTTACTGAAAATAAATGAAATGGATTTGTTTTCCTGTGTTTGGTTAAAAAAAAAAATCATCCTGAATCCATTTGACTCTCTGAGCAGCACCATGGCAATTGGCAAGAACAAGCACTTTATGAAAGGCAGCAAAAGGGGACCAAGAAAAAAGTGGTTGATCCACTTTCTAAGAAAGATTGGTATGATGTGAAAGCACCAGCTATGTTCAGTATAAGAAATATTGGAGCCTGGCCGGTGTGGCTCAGTGTTGAGTGTTTACCTATGAATCAGGAGGTCACAGTTCGATTCCCGATCAGGGCACATGCCCAGGTTTCGGGCTCCATCCCCAGTTGTCAAATTCAAGACCATAGACATTCTGCTCTCTAAGTACTTAAGTGGATCAATTTGTGGCGTGCAGGAGGCAGCCCATCAATGATTCTCTCATCATTGATGTTTCTATCTCTCCCTTTCCCTTCCTCTCTGAAATCAATAAAAACATATTTTAAAAAAAGAAATATTGGAAACACACTAGTCACAAGAACTCAAGGAACCAAAATCATATCTGATGGTCTCAAGAGTCATGTTTTGAAGTGAGCCTAGCTAATTTGCAGAATGATGAAGTTGCATTTAGAAAATTCAAGCTAATAACAGGATGTTCAGTGAAAAAATGCTGACTAATTTCCATGGCATAGGTCTTACATGTGATAAAATATGCTCCATGCTAAGAAAATGATAGACCATGACTGAAGCTCACATTGATGTCAGGAGTACCAATGGTTATTTGCTTCGTCTTTTCTGTGTTTATTTAAAAAAAATGCAACAATCAGATTCAGAAGGCATTATGCTCAGCATCAATAGGTCTATCAAATCTGGAAGAAGAAGATGGAAATCATGACCTGAGAGGTGCAGACAAATGACTTGAGAGAAGTGGTCAATAAACTGATTCCAGATAGCATTGGAAAAAACAGAAAAGGCTGCCAATCTATGTATCTGCTCCATGATGTCTTTGCTAATAAAGTCAAAATGCTGGAGAAGCCCAAGTTTAAGTTGGGAAAACCCATGGAGTTTCCTGGTGAAGGTAGCAGTTCTGAAAAAGCTACTGTGGATATGAGCCCCAGTCCAAGAATTTGTTTAAAATTCAGACATTTAATGGTAACAAATAAAAATCCTATTTGTGATTTACAAAAAAAAGCATCCTGGCTCTAGCTCAGCCGTGGGCAAACTACGGCCCACGGGCCAGATCCAGCCCGTTTGAAATGAATAAAACTAAAAAAAAAAAGACCGTACCCTTTTATGTAATGATGTTTACTTTGAATTTATATTAGTTCACACAGACACTCCATCCATGCTTTTGTTCCGGCCCTCTGGTCCAGTTTAAGAACCCATTGTGGCCCTCGAGTCAAAAAGTTTGCCCACCCCTGCTCTAGCTGGTTTGGCTCAGTGGATAGAGTGTCAGCCTGAGGACTGTAGGGTCCTGGGTTTGATTCCGGTCAAGGGAATATGCCCAGGTTGTGGGCTCCATCTCCAGTGGAGGGCGTGCAGGAGACAGCCGATTAATTGTTTGCTCTCATCATTGATGTTTCTATCTCTCTCTCCCTCTCCCTTCCTCTCTGAAATCAATTAAAAAAAGACATTTTTTTTTTTAAAAAAGCATCTTGTATAATGAGTTTTCTCCCAAAATTTTTCATGTGTCTAAGGCATATTCTTGTATAGCATTTTGTTGATCTATGAAATGATCCCAATAAATGATATGTCTTGCAGCTTATACAATGAGTAGAATGAATTTGTATTATCAATGAGTGGAATTGGATTTTAGCTAATTGTATTACCTCAGGCAAATCATTTAACTAATACCTGAATAGAAAGGTTTTTTAATGTGTAAAATAGTCATAATGGTCCATATTTAATGAGCACCCACTCTGTGCAGTATTCTGAGAGCTTCAGATGCATTATCTTATTTAAGGGGAATAATGGTTTTCTTGTATACAAGTAAAGAAAACTGAAGTGCAGAGAGATGAAGAAGCTGAAATAAAGGAATCATATTTTTAAAAATGGCCCTGGCCAGTTTGCTCAGTGGTTAGAATGTTGGCCTATGGACTGATGGGTTGCTGGTTGGATTCCTGGTCAAGTCAAGGGACCTGGTTGCAGGTTCCCTAGCCCTAGTAGGGGCACATGTGTGAGGCAACCAATCAATGTTTCTCAATGTCGATGTTTCTCTTTCTCCGCCCCCCCCACCCCTTCCCTTCCACTTTCTCTGGAAATAAATGGAAGAAAAATATCCTCGGTGAGGATAAAAAACAACAACATTTTTTTAAAAGCACTTTACACTTACGTATAAATATGAGCCTTATTCAAAAGCAGCAAGATACTAAATAAAAGAAATTTCCTTTGTGCAATATAGTACTAAGGTAGGATTTATAATATAGTTTTGATATGATTTTCATCAAGAGTTAATTGAACAGGTTTCAAATTCAAGACAACAGATATTCTATTCTCTAAGTATTTAAGTAGATCAGAGTTTTATTGCTTAGAATAAACCCAAATAATATAGTAATTGCTTCTTATGGCTGCTTATTGTAGAATAATGTAATTTGATGTTGTTGTTTTTTTTCAGACTTATAATCAAAGTCAATCCAACAAAAGAAGTATTTATAAAGCTATTTCAGGTAACCGGCAGGTCCTTCATTTTTATCAAGCAAGTCCACGAATGGTTCCTGATGGAATCAATCCAGAATTACATAAAATGTTCATCACACATGGTGTCTATGAACCAGAGAAGCCTTCTCGGAACTTGCAGCGAAAGTCATCTATTTTTTCCTATAGGAATGGTAAATAAAAAATTCTGCATTTTAAATATACATAGTTTTCCTATTGTTAGTTAGCAGATTATATATTCATATATTTTTTATTTGAGAAATTCAACATACATTCTAGGATGTTAAGGGTGTTCTCTTTGGAAAGGATGTGTGGTAAGAGAAGCCTTCTCGGAACTTGCAGCGAAAGTCATCTATTTTTTCCTATAGGAATGGTAAATAAAAAATTCTGCATTTTAAATATACATAGTTTTCCTATTGTTAGTTAGCAGATTATATATTCATATATTTTTTATTTGAGAAATTCAACATACATTCTAGGATGTTAAGGGTGTTCTCTTTGGAAAGGATGTGTGGTATAACAGTATTGGGAAAATTAAAATATCCTACAGACCCAGATAATCCTCTTTACAGAGCGTAGAAAAGAAGGAAAACAGTTTTATTTTGAATGAGCATTAAACTAGCTACAATATGCATTGTAGGCCAAACATCAAAATTAATAGAAAGACAGAAAGAAATTCTATGCTATTCATTCCCTGAGACTTAAAATCCTTTACATACATATTCTCAAGACAGTAACATGTCCTCATATAAGAGGAGAGCACTGCTTGGCCAGTCTGGCTCAATGGTTGAGCATGGACCCATCAACCAAGAAGTCACCAAGTGGATTCTGTCAGGGCACATGCCCCAGTTGTGGGCTCAATCCCCAGTAGGGGGCATGCAGGAGATGTTTTTATCTCTCTATCCCTCTTCCTTCCTTCCCAAAAACATATCTTTTAAAAAAGAGGAGAGCACTATTTGCTATACATTCTTTCATACTTCATCCCAAATTCATCTGGTAATCAAGGTAGCCATTTGTGTTGCTAGTTGGCTTTATACAAAGAAATAATACAACGTATCTCTATGACAAGCAGATGGTGACAACTCAGAGAAAGGTGCCTAAGCTAACTTAAGCTAAACTCCCTTGCTAACTGGGAGACAGGGACAATGGCTTTCTTTCTTTCTTTCTTTTTTAATATATTTTATTGATTTTTTACAGAAAAGAAGGGAGAGGGATAGAGAGTCAGAAACATCGATGAGAGAGAAACATCGATCAGCTGCCTCCTGCACATCTCCTACTGGGTATGTGCCCGCAACCCAGGTACATGCCCTTGACCTTTACAAAGATTCGCATGTACACCAAAGGGTTGAAGAAATGATTTGCAAACATTGGGTGTCTCTGGAATTGCTCTAAAAAGGGGAGAGAGTGGTTTTTTCCCTTTCTGTGAAGGAGAAAGTATTTTTTTTTTCTTTTTAAAATTGTGGTGAAGTTAGACCAAGTTATTGGTGATACTGAGTCAGTGAGAAACATGCTTTGGTTGGTCTCAGGGAGCATAGTTAGTAATGAAAGTGTGGCTAGCCTAAAAACTGCAGAGATTTTGGTGATATCAAGAAAATACCTTGAAGTATTAGCACTATGAAAAAATGAGAAACTAACATGGTTCTTTTGAATTTTAGTCTTTAAAGAGGCTTTTAAGGAATCATAAAAACATGTAATTTTAAAATTTGGAAGGAACCTTGGGGGTCAGTCATCTGTTCCAATACATGTCAAAGTAGGAGTGCTTCCTGTTAATGACTATTCAGCCTCACCTTGAATATCTGTGTCAAAGGAAATGGTATTTCAATCCTTACCCGAGGGCATTTTTTCCATTGATTTATTATTTTTTTAGAGAGTGGAAGTGAGGTGAAGTGGGGGAGAGAGAGAAACATTGATGTGAGAGACACATCGATTGGCTGCCTCCTGCACTTACCACACACCCCGACCAGGGCCAGGGATGGAGCCTGTAACCAAGTTACATGCCCTTGATTGGCAATCGAACCCTCAGCCTTTTAGTCCTTGGTCTACCAACTGAACCAAACCGGCTAGGGCAGTTTTTTTGTTTGTTTGTTATAATGATGGTTCATTCCATTGTTGAACAGCCCTATATAGAAGAAAGTTCCTTATGTTGAAAAATCTGTCTTTGCATCTTGTTCACATTGATTTAGTTTTGTCTTCTAGATACAAAGAATAGTTAGGATCCTTGGTTTACCGATGTAGCAATTGTTTATGTATTTGAAGATAGTACCTCTCAAGGTTTCAAACCATGAGTTTTCCAGGTCCTTTCCTTCCTAATCACCTGCTTTGGATTCACTTAAATTTTTTAATGTTCTTTCCTTTAATCAATGCTTTTTGGATATGCCTATTAAACCTAATACAAATCCACTTAGTAGGAATATTTTTGTCATTTTACAAGACTTTGCCAAATTTTTTATTCAAATGAAAAGATGGTATGTATTTTGAATTCTTTTGAGCTTATTAAACTAATAATAGCATCAAAACTTGATTAGGTTGGCATAACTTATTCTTGTATTTTTATAAATGTTAATTAAGCATATGTTTAATAATTATTTCTAAAATGCTACTTGGAATGGATAAAAATTTTGTTAGTAAAATTTTTTTGTAATATTTTTAAATTTTATTTTTATTGATTAGAGAGAGGAAGGGAGAGAAACATAGATTATTGTTCCACTTATTTGTGTATTCATTGGTTGATTCTTTTATGTGCCCTGACCAGGGATCACACCTACAACCTTGGCATATTGGGATGACATTCTAACCAACTTTTTTTTTTTTAGTATAAACTGGGTTATTTTTACTTATTTAAAATTTTTTTCATTATGCTTTGGTTTTGGGTGTACAGCTTAGTGGTTAGGCAGTCTATATATATAAAAGCCTAAACAACCAAACAACCAGTCAGTCAGTCGCTATGATGTGCACTGACCACCAGGGGACAGACACTCAACACAGGAGCTGCCCTCTGGTGGTCAGTGCACTCCTATAGTGGGAGCGCCACTCAGCTGACCGGTGGGCGCCAGATGCTGGGCTCACAGCTGGCAAGCGCAGCTGCGGAGGTGCAAGCCTCTCCCGCCTCTGCAGCAGCTACCAAGCAGCAGCGGCAGGCGCAGCAGGGATCAGGCCCAAACCAGCAGTCTGACATCACCCGAGGGGTCCCGGATTGCGAGAGGGCAAAGACCAGGCCGAGGAACCTCACTGGTGCACGTATCCGTGCACCAGGCCTCTAGTCATATATATTAGTAAAATTCTAATACCTGTCATTTTTAAAAAATTGAGATACTAGCTTATGTTCATTTTTCTGTACTTTCCCCCCATTTTTCCAGAGTTTTCAAGTGTTAGTGATTCATCTTGCCCAGATTGTATGTATAAATGTATTGTCCTATATATTAGTATATAATTCATGTGGTCTTAGAGGAATTTATTTAAAGTGACTAGGAAATTTGAATACCTTCCTATTTCAGAAGTCTTAGAGGTTCAGATTGTTAGATCTAAAAGGGACCTGAGAGAGCACTTATGTCAAACCCCTTATTTTATAAAAGCTTGTTATACTATTTGGGAATAGCTAAGACAGAAGTTTCCTGTTTCCTAATTCAGTAGGAATTAGGAAACAGGAAAGACTAAAAGACTAAAATTTAGTCTTTCTAAATTTTATTTCTGCCCTCATCTGTATTTGGCCAGAGTTTCTGCTTTATACTGTTTATCCTTTCCAGCTTGGCAATTAATTTTCCTATAGAGAGATTATGGAAGTCAAAAGGGCTAATTTACTCTGTTGTGTGTTTTTTAAATAATATCATAACATTATTTTCTTAAAGCAGTAGATCTTTTCCACCACCTTTTACTCCATCCCACAATCCTAATTTAAGGCCATCTAAAAACCCTTTATTGTTTTGGAGCCCCCCCTATCCCAAGCTTCAGATTACCTTTCTAATAACTTTATGATGGAATCATGACACTAGTTTCTATTTGTATGTTATCTGTTTCATGTCAGGTCTTAGACAACAAAATAGAGAAAGTCCAAAAGAAGACAGGAATCATCCTAGCTATCTGGCTCTGTTCTGTTAATTAAGTCATTAGCAAAGTTTAGCTCCTGGACTCCTAGACAGAAGGGTTCACTAATTCTTTCAAAGAAGTGAGAGAAGTGTAGGAGATATATACAAGTAGGAAGTGATAACTAGAGTGGTTATAGGAAGAATACTATTTTTAATGAATAGAGTCAGTGGTTTTAGCAGAGATGAGTAGACAGAGAGTTATGTATATCTTGTGTTTGTCTGGCAGATGTTTTTAACCTCTTTTCAATTACTTTTTAACTTTATAGGATTGAGACAAAATAATTCAAAGAAGGATTGGTTCTTATCAGAAGAAGAATTCAAATTGTGGAACAGACTTTATAGATTGAGAGACAGTGATGAAATTAAGGAAATAACATTGCCTCAAGTTCAGTTTCTGTGTTTTCAAAATGAGGATAACAGATCAGTAAGTGAAACGTGTTTTCCGATGTCTTTTATAGTGATTATGCAGTAGCTTTAGGAGCAAGGAGAATGTTCATGATCAGAATAGCACCTTAAAAATTTAAGAATTTAAATAGTTTTTAAGAGATTATTAAACTCTAAGTTTGTAAAACTTCTCATTTTCTTATATTCTTTATTGTGTATATATATTTACATGACCATAATATATTTATATAAGTTCTGCCTTTTTAAAAAATACATTTTTTTATTGATTTCAGGGAGGAAGGGAGCTAGAGAGAGAGAAACATCAATGATAAGAGGGAATTGTTGATTGGCTGCCTCCTGCATACTGGGAACTGAGCCTGCCACCCAGGCATGTACACCGACCAGGAATCAAACTGTGACCTCCTGGTTCATAGGTTGACACTCAACCATTGAGCTACACTGGATGGGCTATTCTGCCTTTTCTTTATTACTTTATGCCATATGGACATTTCTGTATAGGCAAAATTTACATGATTGTTATGTTACCCTGCAGTATACCATATTTTGACTGCTTCACTATTGTGTTTTAGAATCCTTTTTTTAAAAATGTATGAGAGAGAGAGAGAGAGAGAGAGAGAGAGAGAGAGAGAGAGAAACATCAACTCATTCCACTTATTTATGCATTTATTGGTTGATTCTTGTATGTGCCCTGACTAGGGGTCAAACCTGCAACATTGGGGTATTGAGATGATGCTCTAAATCAACTGAGCTACCCAGCCAGGGCTAGAATTCTTTTCAATCTGTTACTAACATAAAATTATACTATCATGAGCATCTATATACAAACTGGTGTTTATTTTCAGCTTTGAAACTTTTATTTGGATTTTATGATTTATTTTGTTTTAAGAACAAATTATTAGTAAACTTAATGAAAGCCAAGGGAATTTGTCAAAGGTTACTTTTGTACCCAAAAAGCTGGAAAAACAACCTCAGGAAAGATTCCTTTTAGAAGATATATAGTGCTTGAAAAATATGGCTATTCAGAATTTTTTAAAAATTCTTAATTGTTTAAAAATATGAAATGCTTCATGAATTTGCGTGTCATCCTTGCGCAGGGGCCATGCTAATCTCCTCTGCATCGTTCCAGTTTTAGTAGATGTGCTGCCGAAGCGAGCACCAGGATTTGTATTTTTTATTCACTAACTGGAAAAGTGAGGAATGGTAGCAGGCATGAAGAACTAGGATTAGTATCGCTGAGAGATTATGAATGCCTCCTTATTAGATTATTGGATATAAATAGCAGTTTTGAAACCACACATTTTTCTTAAATATTATTCAACATGGAACTACATAAACAGGAATATGGTCAACTAGTAACTCGTGTAATATTTATTTTAAAAATGTATTTAAAGGGCAGCTTTGTACTTTATAAAATTATTTTCTTTTTTTCTTCTGAGATTTTAGTTGAAAGTATCAAAATGAGTTCATATTATTTATGTTAGGCTGATTATTTGTGTATTAAATGTTTTTCTAAACATCAGTTTATGAGTGTTTTTATCCCTTTTACTATTTTAAAAATCATTAATCAAGACTCAAGAACCAACCATTGGAATTCGTCAACTCTCTCTGTCAGAATGGAGACTGTGGCAAGATCATCCTTTTCCTACATATCAAGTTGACCATTCAGATCGATGCCATCATTTTATAAGCATTATGCAAATGATAGAAGGAATGAGACATGAAGAGGTAGGTTTTTTCATAATTAAAAAATATCTATTTTATTGATTTCAGAGAGGAAGGGAGGAAAAGAGATAGAAACATCAATAATGATAGAGAGCCCTAACCGGTTTGGCTCAGTGGACAGAGCATCGGCCTGCAGACTCAAAGGTCCCAAATTCGATTCCGGTCAAGGGCATGTACCTTGGTTGCGGGCACATCCCCAGTGGGGAGTGTGCAGGAGGCAGCTGATCGATGTTTCTAACTCTCTATCCCTCTCCGTTCCTCTCTGTAAAATATCAATAAAATATATTTAAAAAATAATGATAGAGAATTATTGATTGGCTGCCTACTGGGGGTCCACCTGGGCATGTGCCCTGACCTCCTGGTTCATATGTTGATGCTTAACCACTGAGCCACGCCATCTGGCGAGGTAGGTTTTTATTGTAATTTTCTCTTGCTGGTTTGATGTGAAACTAGAATACTTAATCTTTATTCTCCTTAATTTGAAGCCATTATTATAAGAAACAAGTATTGCCTTGGCCAGTGCGGCTCAGTTGGTTGAGCATCATCCCATGCACTGGAAGGTCGGTGGTTCAATTCCTGGTTAGGGCATATGCCCAGGTTGCGGGTTTAGACCCTGCTCAGCAGGCAAAATGATTGATGTCTCTCTCTCTCTCTCTCTCCCCCCCTCCCCCATTCCCCTTCCATCCCTCTCTCTTTCTCTTCCTTTCCCTCTCCCTCTCTCAAATCAATTTCAAAAAATTAGAAATTAGTATTTATTATAAATGATAGGTGGACTATTTTTTTTCTGTATAGCTCTTTTGTGATCTCAATAATGAACCAGTTTTCTGTCATAGAAGAAGTAGAATTAATTAGAGGAATATCTGTAAATATTGATAGACCAGAGTAAACTTTAAAAAAAATCTTTATTGTTGAAAGTATTACATTTGCCCTCTTTTCTCCCCATTGACCTCTTCTAGCCTACCCCCCCACCCCAGGTCATCACCACCCTATTGTCTGTGTCCATGGGTTATGCATATATGCATACAAGTTCTTTGGTTGATCTCTTCCCATCCACCCTCCCCTGCCTTCTCTCTGAGGTTTGATGGTCTGTTCCATGCTTCTATGTTTTATAAATATTTTTCTTTGTTCAGATCATTTGTAGTTGAAGCTCACTTGCTACCATTTTAAAAAGCTCTGCAGCATTCCCCAGCCATTCACATATTCATCTTGACCTGGACAGTCAATTTCTTGCATAACCCGCAGAAACTTCAGTCCTTTAATATGAAATGTTCTCCTTTTTTTTTTTTTACTTTTGATTCAAACTAGCCCCACCCAGCACGCTGACTCACCTGCCTCCTTCTCCCTTGCATGTCTGCTCCCTTAATTACTGAGGCCTTAGGACTTGGCATCAAATATTCTTAGGAATAAAGCTTCGGGACTGAGGACTACAGAGACAGAATCTTAGTCAAAGTAGAGATAACATAGGCCTCAGTTATATTTCAGCTCCAGCCCAGAAAACTAGCAAAACCAGCTGAAGTGATACCGTGGCTGACATCAGGACCAGGTGCAGTGATCAGTGACTCCTACCCGAGAGACCAGGGCTAGCTCCCTCCATCATCATGATTAATGATGTTTCCCTATATAACCCATTGCCTGGAAACATTGCGGAGCTCACCTATCTCAGAGCTGGGGCCCCGTAAAAATAAACCCTTATGTCTTTGCTGCAAATCCCTGTTAGTGCCTTATTGGGCTTTGGTGCTCCCAGGCAAACAAACCCCTTTAGTCCGGTAATGATACTGGACACAAAGGGTCCATTACCGCCTGTCACCACTAAGCCAGTAAACAGATAACAAGGTTGAATCTTTTATGAGCATTTATTTATTCTAGTTGTCAGTAGCAGAGAGTAGCAGGTATGGCATCTTAAAAAACTTCTCTAACATCTCCCACCAGTTGGCTCGTTACATAGGGATAGGGAGGAAAAGCTGTGTGCAGCAGGGAGGGTGTAGCAGGATGAGGGCTGCAGAGTATGTGGTCAGTGTGTCCACTCCCAGAATCTTGAAGTCCAATGACAAGGTAGTTAATCTTTTAACCATGGCAAACAGGTTATCCTATTCTTGGAATTGGAGAATGGACAGCATTCCTGGGACAAACTCCCAGAGGGGGATCAGTTTCCAAACACAGCAACCAGGTCAGGGTCCACTTTCTTTGATCAAGACAGGACATGATTAATAATATCTATGAGCATTACTAGTGCCTCACCATTCCCCCTCACCCCACCCCTATCAATAACAAATGCTAGCACAGGAGATTTTTAATAGGAACAGGATCCTTTCAGCCACTCTGCTTTAGGCTTCTAACTTTATTAGTTGTAATGGTCATTTAGAATTGGCACGTGGATGGCCACATCTAATCCAAGGTATGCACATATGAGTAAATTAATCCTAATCTTCCCATTTGCATCACTTTGATTTTTCTGCCATTGCTATAATGTTTTAAGACATTAATGAAATTTAATTATCAAAAATCTCTTTAGCAGTTGCTGTGGGTTGTTTTTTTAAAAAATATCTTTATTGATTTCAGAGAGGAAGGGAAAGGGAGAGATTGAAACATCAATGATGAGAGAGAATCATTGGTTAGCTGCCTCCTGCATGTCCACTACTGGGGACTGAGCCCGCAACCCAGGCAAGTGCCCTTGACCAGAATCAAACCCTGGACTCTTCAGTCTGCAGGCTGACGCTTTATCCACTGAGTCAAACTGGCTAGGGCAGCAGTTGCTGTTTTCAATTAAATGTAATCTGTAATGCTGTTCTTCTCAAGTAAATTAACTTTAACCAACATTGTAATATATTAATTTCAACTTAATTAAAATTAGTTGAAATTCCTTGTCAGGAAGAGGGAGCTATCCTTTATTTTGGTCTTACATTGAAGAACCAAGAAACAAGCAGAATGTAATATCTATAATAAGCATAATTTGCTAATTAGACCGGACGTCCTTCTGGATGAAGCGGTGGCGGCGGCAGTGGCTGCGGCCAAGCCCCTTGCATGAATTTCGTGCGTTAGGCCTCTAGTTGTTTATATGACCCTGGGTTGGGAAAAGGGATCTAGTTTTTTACTTTTGGATCTAATTCAGCTTTATTAGACCATGTTGTCTCATGTGTGGTTTTAAAAGTCAGTGAAAATTAGAGCAGTTCCTTTGGCAGTGGAAGTAAAGTTGTATAAACCCTTGTATTTATTCATAAGCATTTTCCCATTGAGAAACAAATAGTCTGAAAAACCTAAATACAAGCCTGGGAATCATTCATTTTGGATTTTATCCATGGCACTCACATTTTGTCTTTGACCAGTCAAACTCATTGCATTTGGTAGGCCTCTAATGACCAGAGTAAATTTTAATATATGTAATGATTTATATAAACTTTGTAATTTATGATTTTTGTTAGATGAGATATATTGAGATGTTGTCTGTGACATAGGTTATTTGGTATACCTCTTATATCCTGGTGGTAGTTTAGAGAATTGTTGATTCCTTGAGTAGTTTCTTGATTATTATTCTTTGAGAGGGTCAGAATGATGAACCTATTCAAGAGTGAAATCCAAAATACCTGGGTTAGAATCCAAACACTACCTCATACTAATTGTGCATTTGTAAGACACTTAACCACTTTATGCCTCAGTTTCATCTATAAAATGGGGATAATATTAATACCTTCTTTACATGGTTGTTGTAGGATTAAAAGACTTGATATGCATAAACCATTTAGAACTGTAATGGCACATAGTAAGTACTCAGTAGCTTGTAGCTGCTCTTTTTATTATTAGTTATCATTCATGAATAGTATATGTAAATATATAAATTAGTTGTGAATACCAGCAAAACCTGTGTCATCAAATTAACACATATTTATTTAGTGTCCTCTATATACCATGTTCTGTTCTTGGCCTTGCGGCTACATCAGGGAAGAAGCCAGATAAAATATTTTGTCAGCCCTGGCTAGTGTTTCTCAGTGGGTTGAGTGTCATCCCCTGTACCAAAGGGTCATGGGTTGGATTCCCAGTCAGGGCATATGCCCAGGTGTTGTGCTTAATCCCCAGTAGGGGGCATGCAGGAGACAGCTGATTGATATTTCTCTTTTTCTTTCTCTCTCCTCCCTCTTGCTCTCTAAAATTAATAAAAACATTTAAAAAGATATTATGTCAGTGGGGAGCATATATACTACCAGGGAAACAGACATCCTCAGATTAATATTTATTGTATTTATTCAAAAAGTGAAGAGTTAATTGCCTAAGTCCCTGAGTAGTAGAGGAATCATGATTAAAGTAGCCTTCATGGGGAAGAGGGAAGGATGAACCAGGAGTGGTTGGGACTGTCATTTTAAACTTAAAGATATTTAAGAAATTATAGTGACTTAGAAATTCACTATAAGAGTTCTTGGTTGGGAAACTTCTTAAAAATACTCATATGTGGAATCTAATGAGCGAAATAAACTGATGAACAAAATAAACCGATGAGCAAAATAGGTCCAGAGACATAGAAGCATGGAACAGACTGAGGATTCTCAGAGAAAAGGCAGGGATGGGGGTTGCGTGGGAAGAGATTAACCAAAAATCCTATATGCATATAAGCATAGCCCATGAAGACAGACAGTAGTGTGGTGAAGGCCTGGGGAGGGGCATGGGAGCGGGGTGGAGAGGGTGAATGGGGATAAAAAGGGGGGACATCTGTAATACTTTCAATAATAAAGATAAATTAAAAACATAAAACTGGAAATAAAATAGTCTATTCTAGCCTGTAGTACACATACAAGTATCATTTCAGATATTCTAAAGCTGTTCTTAGTTTACTTTCAAAAGGAGAGTAATTTAACATATAGATGTATGCTTTACATTTATATATATTAATTTCTTAAGTATGTATTTTTAGGAAATTAGAATAATCGTTCAATTAAATGTTAGAAGTGAAAAAACTTAGTGTTTATAATCTTATTTTATGCATTCACTAGATTTGTTCTTTCTACAAATAGTTATCATGGGTCTTCCATGTATTAAGTACTGGGGAAACAAAAATGTTAACGGATTAAAGAAATTTATGTTAATGTCACAGTCGTTTCATTTATAATTTTATTTATCAGAATAATTTTTTAAGGTATAAGAAAATCATTTGAATAATATTGTTTGGAAAATATTTTAACATAGAGTAAAACTCATCTCTTAGAATTGGCTTGTTTTGTTTTCTTGTGACCTTTTCATTTCTTTATAGGGAGAATGCAGCTATGAATTGGAAATTAAATCTTATTTACAAATGGAAGATGTTAGCTCAACATTTAGTGCTCCCAGGAACAAATCTAATCTTCTTGCCAATGGCACCTTTACTAGTAACAAGAAATATTCATTTATAAGGAATATAAATGAAGGCAATTTATTCTCAATGACAGAATCTGATGAAGAATGTGCTGAAATTTTTAAACAGACTCATATCAAACCTACTAAAATTGTCTCTCTTAAGAAAAAAGCTTCTAAAAAACGGAAAAAAGATCAGCCTAAAAAAGAAAATAATGATGTTGTTATGGATTCTTTAGATACTGATGGCAATTCTACTGTTGAAAATATTTTTCAGGTAGACCTTAATGATAAAAGAGCATTAGATATAGATGAAGTTGCTGCCACATGTGCTGTTGATGAAAATGTTGTTAATCAGCCATGTAGATTATTAACAGAATGTCAGATTACAAATAAATCTACTAATTCATTTACTGGAAGTTTTTTAGATTCTGGTTATAACAGTTTTAGTGATGAGAAATCTGTTTTATATAGCTTTTTTCTTCCATTTGAGGAAGAGCTTGTTATAGCTGGAACAGATGACCAATTTTATAATTGTTATTCACTTACAAAAGAGGTACTAGTTAATGTAGAGAGATTTTTATCTCATTCTCCTCCACCTCTCAGTGAACTCTCAGTTTTGGAACATGAAATTACTAAGGGTTCTGCAATTGAAAATTTGCTTTACCCACCCTGCACAGAGTATTTACAAAACAATAAATCTACCTGTTTGGTATCACATGCAACTGTCAGTTCTCAACAGAATTTAGAATTGAATTCACTTAAATTTATTAATCATCCTTCTGAAAAAAGTTGCCTTTATAGTACAACTAATAAGATTGTTGATGAGCCCAGCTTCTGTGACTATGATGATAAAGTACGTAAAGATGTTGAAAATGAAACTTTAGTAACCAACAATCATACTCAAATAAACACAGGCCCTCCACAATACTTAGATGAAGAAAACAATTGTGGTGTTGATAACAATGGGCTTCAAGTATTGTTCACAGATCAGGATGAGAGTTTACCACTATTTGAAGAAGATAATACAGAATTTAATGATATGAGCCTTTCTCCCTCAAATAATGAATGCAAATCTTTACATGTGTCAGACAAAACTTGTATAAACAAAATGGCACTGGTTTCTCAGTTCTTAATTTCTGATGAACTTTTGTTAGAAAATAATTCTGAACCCCAAGATCAAATTATCTATGATACTAATACTAAATCTCATGAAGATTTGACAGGTGTACATGAGGAAAAACTGAAGAGTGATGAATATGTTCTTGACTGCTCTAAGGATTTATTTTCTGTTACCTTTGATTTAGGATTTTGTATTTCAGATTCTGATGATGAAATATTAGAACATGCATCAAATACAAATAAGAATAAAACTTTAGATGATCTACCTGGAAGATGTTTAGATATCAAGGAGATAAGTGATGCAAGTTATGTTTCAAATCAAGCAGTAATAACAAGAGATCATGTTGATAGTTCTAGGAGTAGAACCATTACTATCTCATCAAGTGAAGATAAGCAGAGTCCAACTTCTTCACGTTTTCCATTGAGTATAGCAAACAATAAACAATTTATGTTGCCTGGTTATTCTCAGTTTTCTTTGCCAGTTGGGGAAAAAGTTATGAGTACACCCCTTTCTAAATCAAGCACATTGAACTCTAAAAGGAGAAAGGAAATGCCTAGGACACTAGATTCTAGTAAAGTAAATTCACGAAGTTTCAAAGAAACATTGAACTCAACTTTTGATGATTCAGGACTTTTTATAGAAAAGGCTAAAAACGGGGAACAAATCAATCTACATCCATCCTGTCATTCTGCTGGAGGTAAGATTTCATCTTTCTAGAATAATTACTCTAGATAAACTTCTGTAATTTTTCAAAATGAAATTGCTCAGTTTATGGGGTGTTGAATTAGATAATTGATGTATTCTATATTTTTACAGTTGATGCTTAGTGATTATTTTATCTACATATGTATTTAGGGCATGCATGCCATTGGAGAGGTATTACACTGTGAAATATAGAAGTGTAAGATTTGGCCCTAGCCTTTGACTGTAAAACAAACAATTGTGTGACATACACTTTTGAAAAGATACCAGTAAAATGTGTAAAGAACTACTAAAGGAATATTAAGATAGTGGATGTTTAGGAGATATAGAAAATGTCAAAATGTTGAAGCGGATTAGATTAGATTTTTACATGTAAATTTTCATTTTGGCTCCTTGGGAATATGGATATGTTGAAAGTAATAAAATGAGAATTTAGATGTTATAAAATAGTGGGGGAAAGTACAAGAAGGCAAGTGTAAAATTTTGAGGGGATAGTGTAAAGAAAAGGGTTTATATAGCAAAATAGTTGAGAAGTAATACTAATTGGAGGATTGAGATAAGAGCACAGAAGCTCTTGGGGAATCTGCATTTCTGTGAGCTAATTCTACACAGATACAGAAAAACAAGAAAATACAGTGATAGATGCTATAGTTAAAAGGAAAGCCTTCTGGAATTACTTGGTTATTATAACTGAGTCCTGCATTTAATTCTAGCTGCCTTAGAAGATAATGAAAAAAGAAAAAGTTGGATTATAGAGTGCTCATTTGTAAAAAGGATTTATTCAAGTTTATCTCTCTGGGTAGAATTTTTATTGTCATAGAGTATGAAGAGAAATTTACTATGTAAATTTATGTTAGTTTTCTTTCTTTTTTAAAAAATTTATTTTTTAGCCCTGACCCGTTTGGCTCAGTGGATAGCGTCGGCCTGCGGACTGAAACGTCCCAGGTTCGATTCCCGTCAAGGGCATGTACCTTGGTTGCGGGCACATCCCCAGTGGGAGCTGTGCAGGAGGCAGCTGATCAATGTTTCTCTCCCATCGATGTTTCTAACTCTCTATCCCTCTCCCTTCCTCTCTGTAAAAAATCAATAAAATATATTTTAAAAATGTTTTTTAATGTTTTTATTAATTTTTAGAGAGAGAAGAAGGGAGAGGGATAGAGAGCTAGAAACATTGATGAGAGAGAAACATCATCAATCAAGATCAGCTGCTTCCTGCACAGCCCCCACTAGGGATTGAGCCCTCAACCCGGGCATGTGCACTGACCAGGAATCGAACCAGTGACCTTTTGGTTCCTGGATCAACGTTCAACCACTGAGCCACACCAGCTGTGTTAGTTTTTTATTACTGTGTAACAGATTATGCCCAGAAATTTAGTGGATTAAAATAAACATTCATCTCACAGTTTCTATAGTTTAGGAATTCACGAGTTTTTTAATTGGGTGGTTTAGCGTAGGATTTCTCATGAGGTTATACTCCAGATTTCACCTGTGGTTGCAGCTATTTGAAGTCTTGACTGGGCATGGGTACTCTGCTTTCAAGAGGGGTTGTTCAACGTGGGGAGGGGAGATAGAGGCACACAGGGATCTCTATTCCATAGCAACTCTAAAATCCAGCAGAAGTGGGATTAGAAGTTCTTTGATTAAGATTCAAAGCCTGGTAATAATTCTCCATGGTTCTTTGTTCTCTGGATGCTTGGTAGCATCCTTTTTCACAGACAGCACCCGTGGAGTTTTCTCTGCATACTTTCTTTCAGTAAAAATTTGGGAATCCAAAGCCCTCTTTCTATTTCCGCGCCATAGGAACGGATCTCCGACGTAACCCGAGGATCTACTGTATACAGTTATATCCTCAGCTGTATCTGAACAGTGTTTTCCTGGCAATCCTCTGAATTATATCTTTGCCTGGAAGATTTCTTAGTTTACTAGTAACATGGTTTGCCAGCTCAAGAAGTTGGGAATTTTCAAAAGCCAGCAAGTTTGTTTCACATTTAATAGTCCTTTCTTTAGCTTCTCTCTCCTCTTGTAATTTACTTTAACGGCAAGAAGCACAGATGACACCTTAAACATTTTATCTAGAAATTTCCTTAGCTAGATCACCTCATTCATTAGGCACATTTTCTACTTTCTCTGTTACTGGAAGGTTGCTAAACTTTCTGGCATTACATAAAGGATTCTCTTTCCTCCAATTTCCAATAAGATTTTCCTTACTTTAACCTCTCACACGTAGCCATTGATCTTCATAGAAATTGTTGCTATAAACAATTCCTTTGAGTCTCTTTAAGCTTTCACCAAAACTCTTCTCAAAAGTTCTTTCAAGCTTCTGCCCCTAATCTAGTTCTAAAGTTCTTTACATCGTTTAGTTATTTCGTATGGCAATCCACTGTTCCCAGGTACTGCAACCTGTATTATTTCTCTATTGCGCATAACAAATTATCCCACCCAACTCCCAATTTAATGGCTTAAAACAACAAACATATTTCTGTAGACCAGAAATTAATGTGTGGCTTAGTGAGTGGTTTTGGCTCAGGATATTTCATGGAGTTGCAGTCAAGACGTTGGTCAGGGATGGAGTTATCTGAAGGCTTGGATAAGCTTGGAGGAGCACATTGCTCTTGGTGGGAGGCCTCAGTTTCTTACCACATGGGCCTCTCCATAGGATTTTCTCTTAACATATATTTTTATTGATTTCAGAGAGGAAAGGAGAGGGAGAGAGAGATGGAAACATCAGTGATGAGAGAGAATCATTGATTGGCTGCGTCCTGCATGCCCCCTACTGGAGATTGAGCCCGCAACCCAGGCATGTGGCCTTGACCAGAACCGAACCCAGTACTCTTCAGTGTGCAGGCCGATGCTCTATCCACTGAGTCAAATCGCTAGGACTCCATAGAATTTTTTTAAACTGTGTTTTTAGAGAGAGAGGGAGGGAGATAGAGAGAAACATCAATGTGAGAGAGAAACATCGAATGGCTGCCTCCCACATGCACCCCCACCAGGGATCAAACCCGAAACCTGGGTATGAACCCTGACTGGGAATTGAACCATCAACCTTTTGGTGCACGGGATGACGCTCAACCAACTGAGTCACACCGGTCAGGGCCGTAGGGTTTCTTCTTATTTTCTTACTAGAGGCCTGGTGCACTGATTCATGCACATTGAAAGGAAATTAATTAGAAAGTGGCCAGTGGGATGGGACTGGGCGAGATGGGCCAGACATGCCCTGGTGCCAACTTCCCACGGTTCCTCCCCAGCTGGCCACAACTGGGGCGGCGCCGGGGTTTAAAGGGCATCTGCAGAGTGAATGGGATCCTTCCAACAAGTGGGGTCCCTCGGCCTGGCCTGCAGGGATTGGGCTAAAACCAGTAGTCTGACATCCCCAGAGGGGTCCCGGAGTGTGAGAGGGTACTTCGCAAAATTGCTGTCACTGGCCAGCTCCTGTGTTGAGCATCTGCCCCCTGGTGGTCAGTGTTCATCATAGCTGTGGGTCGGAGTGTCTGCCCCCTGGTAGTCATTGCACATCATAGCTACCAGTCGAAAGGTCGGACGGCCACTTAGGCTTTTATATATATATAGATAATGTAGCATTCCTCCAGAGTGAGTGATATATAGAGAGAGCAAGGATGAGGTTGCAATCACTTTTATGACCTAGATTCTGAAGTAAGGCACCTTCATTTTCATTATATTCTTTTGTTAGAAGCAAGTGACTAAGTCTGCCCTATACTTAAGGGGAGAGGAATTCTGACTTTCCTCTTGAAGGGGAAATATATCAAATAATTTATGAATGTATCTTAAAATAACAACAAGGCTCTTACAGCAGGTTTCATAAAGACACAAAGAAGTGTCTTCAATCAAAATTTTATGAAAAGACCTACTTAAAGCTTTGGTTTAAGTACCTGAATATTTGAAGCATCTATTTCATACATAAGAGTTTTTTTGTTTTGTTTTTTTATTTCAGAGAGGAAGGGAGAGGGATAGAGAGATAGAAACATCAATAATGAGAGAGAATCATTGATTGGCTGCCTCCTGCATGCCCCCTTCTGGGGATCGAACCTGCAACCCGGGCATGTGCCCTTGGCTGGAATCGGACCTGTGACCCTTCAGTCCGCAGGTCGATGCTCTATCAACTGAGCCAAACTGGCTCGGGCTGTTTTTTGGTTTTTGGCAATCTTTTCATTCCCCCAGATAAGTTGTTTTAGTTACAACATTTTGCTGATATCTTACCAATGTTTAATTTCATACTTGTGCACAAAAACATATGAATATGCACATATATATGCTACATACATACATAAAAGGTCTTTATATATATTGTTTTATAGCTTGCATTTTCTTGCTTTATCTTGTTCAACTAGAAAGAATAAGATAAAAAGGCAGGAAGACTATCATAGATTTTAGAGATGAATTCTAAAACCATCGACTAATAGAATTACGTTTTACACTCTTCTGGTCTCTTTTCAGTTATATTTTTAAAAAATGAACCTGAGTCAAATATGTTTATTAGCAAGAGTTATCATCTCTTAATTTTCTTACTAGTACTGTTTTATTTATTTTTTGGTCTCATGTTGATTTTTTTTTTGCCAAACTTCGTAAAACTTATCTTTTTTTGAGAGTGACAGAAATAATTCTTATTTACCCATCAATAAAATAGGTATTTGTGGTTGGATAAACTTAAATTTATTGACTAGATTCATTATTTTTAAATAAATTTTATAGATGAACAGTTAACAAGCAATGAAAGTGAAGGTGATGAGATTTTCCGAAGAAAGAGTAAAAAAGCAAAAGGAAATGTTTTAGAATCCCCAGAGGTGAGTAATTCAGTAATTACAATAATGTGACCATATACAGGCTTTTTCTTTCTCCTTATGTCTTTTCATTATTTTTACCCTTTACTTTATCTATTTATCTAGGATCAGAAATATAGTGAAAATGATTCTCCACTTCATGCTGTAAAAAAGCGCAGGGTTCCTCCAAAGAAAGTAAGTATATAAACAGATGATGTATAGATAATGCATAGTAATTCAATTAGAATAAATATTACAAAAATAATATGTGTATAGGTGAACATAAGTACATATGATCTTACAGGAACGTAGTTAGCAGAAAAATGGATAATAAATACTATGTGATTAGAATTTCTATTTTAATTTTATACTTGTTTTAAAAACGATTTCTACTTTTGTCAATACATGTTAGCAATTCATCAATGTTCATTAAATACTTACTGTGTATCTACTATGCGAGATGCTGGAGATACTGTAATGATTATATCCTGGAACTGTCTTAAGTCACCTACAATCTATTAGGAGAGAAAGATAAGGAAATGGATAATTTTAATATAATCTTTTAAGTTGAATGATAAGAAAACAGAAACACTTAGATTTTGGGAACTCTGTCAAGCTTCTTGAAGTTAAAATCTTATTAAATCTTAAGCATATGTGGCCTTAGGCAAGAGAAGGGAAAAGGGAAGGCATTGTCAACAGAGCTTGAAGAATGACACAGCTGGAAACAGCATCTCTTTATTAAATGGACTGTTCTACAAAGAGTGCCAGGAAGTGAAAACGGAGAAAAGTCTGGATCTGTTTGTAGAAGGCCTTATTCTTTCATTTGCTTACTGAATGGTTTGAAAGGAGGAAAGGAAGGAGTCCAGTATGACTCTGGTGTTTGGCTTGGGCTCTTTGGCAAACGCTAGAGAAGACAAGAAAGAATTGAGTTCAGTGTGGAACATGTTTGAGTTTGAGGTTTTTTGTTTGATAATGAAGTGTCAGTGTCTGGCAAGCATTGGTGACTATGAATATGAAGTTTGGGTAGGAGGCAGGTCTTATAGCTAATGAAATTCATTTGTCATCAGTTTATAGCTGGTAACTAAATTTTGAGATTAGGAAATCTTGTGTGTTTTAATTCGCTAATGAAATCTAGGATACTTTATGCAAAATTAATTAAAAATACAATCAGTTCATATTAATTTTTATACTTACATAAAACAAGAAAAGTCACTTTTATACTTATATAAAACAAGAAAAAGTCACTTTAATTGATTTATCAGAAATGAATAAAACATTGATAATGTAATGAATCCATTTTAAACTAAAATTATTCCTTTTAATTGAAATGTTATTGATAAACTTTTTTTGAGTCTTTTGATTAGTTTTATATTATTCTGTAAAAGATACAGTGATAGGCCTCCCTAGTCAAAGTTTGTTTTTCTTATAGTAGTTCTTTGGTTTGAAAGGACTCCTGTATGTTTGAACTGATCTTGATAACTATATTTATAGACCTAACTATAGGCCCAGTGCATGAAATTTGTGCATGGGTGGGGGTCCCTAGGTCTGGCCAGCGATCACAGCCGATCAGGTTCCCTGCCTCCCCGCCTCCTCCTTCCCTCGCCGCCACCCATCCCCAGTTCCTTGTCCCAGCCTGGGGCTCAGCCCCAGATCGGGCAATCAGGACCTGCCGGCAGTGGGGAGGGACCCAGGAGGTTGGCCAGCAGGCCTCGATCAGGCAATCGCCAACTGCCACCGTAGTGGGTGGGCACCTGGGTGATCAGGGCCTGCATCAGGTGGGAGAGACCTGGGAGGTTGGCTGCTGGCCCTGAGGAGGGAGCCAGCCCCCCTGGGAAAGGGGCCGCACCTGCCACCACCTACCCCTGGTTCCCGTCCCAGCCCAGGGGCCCTGCTGGCCAGGGGGAGGTACCGGGAGGTTGGCTGGCAGGCCCCATCAGCGATCGGGGCTTGTAGGCTGGGGGCAGCTCCTGCATTGAGCATCTGCCCCCTGGTGGTCAGTGCATGTCATAGCGACCTGTCATTCCAGTCATTTCATCATAATGGTCACTTAGGCTTTTATATATATAGATTATATTTTGTGAAATCCTCAGGATCTTCTAAAGGAAACAAGTTTTCATCAAATACATTTGATGTAATTGAATGAATGTTATAATAGTATTACACATATTGCCTAATTTAGTATTTTAGTACTTATCAATTCTTAAGTATTATGTATTTGTAACAGGGCTCTGGGTTGTGAGAATATTTTATTTTTCTAACCTGGGAAAGGGGCCGCACCTGCCACCACCTACCCCTGGTTCCCGTCCCAGCCCAGGGGCCCTGCTGGCCAGGGGGAGGTACCGGGAGGTTGGCTGGCAGGCCCCATCAGCGATCGGGGCTTGTAGGCTGGGGGCAGCTCCTGCATTGAGCATCTGCCCCCTGGTGGTCAGTGCATGTCATAGCAACCTGTCATTCCAGTCATTTCATCATAATGGTCACTTAGGCTTTTATATATATAGATTATATTTTGTGAAATCCTCAGGATCTTCTAAAGGAAACAAGTTTTCATCAAATACATTTGATGTAATTGAATGAATGTTATAATAGTATTACACATATTGCCTAATTTAGTATTTTAGTACTTATCAATTCTTAAGTATTATGTATTTGTAACAGGGCTCTGGGTTGTGAGAATATTTTATTTTTCTAACAAGAAAATGTTAGGCCAACTTTAAAAAAGAAAATAAAAGCAACATCCTTTGAGATTAGGAAATCCTATCTAATAATAACACACACGCCGCTGGTGATCAACGCATGTCATAGCAACCAGTTGTTCGGTTGTACCAGTTGTTCCACCATTTGGTTTGTTTGCACATTAGCCTTTTATTATATAGGATATGTATTTAAAGAACATTAGATTTTATACAGAAGTAAACTTCTCTCTATAATTTCTTTTTTAACCCTTATCTGAGGATCTATATTTTTAAATATATTTTTATTGATTTCAAAGAGGAAAGGAAGGGAATGAGAGAGAATAATTGATCAGCTGCTCCCTGCACACCTCCTAGGGATGGAGCCCACAACCAGGGCATGTGCCCTGACCAGGAATTGAACCCTGACCTCCTGGTTCATAGGTTGATCCTCAACCACTGAGCCACGCTGGCTAGGCCTGAGGATAATTTTTCCATTGATTTTTAGAAAGAATGGGAAAGGAGAGGGTGAGAGGGAGAGAGAAACATCAGTGTTGAAAGAGACTCATCTATTGGTTATCTTTTGCACACCCCCAACCGGCATCAAACCTATAATCCAGGTACGTGTCCTTGACCAAAATCGAACCTGAAACCCTTGGTGTGTAGACCAACGCTGTAACCTTTGAGCCATACCAGTCAGGACTCTATAATTTCTCTATAGAAAAAAAATCCCAAAGTAAAAATATATTTTTACCCTACTTTTTTAATTGGAATTAAAATCTCAATTCCAATTTAAAAAGTACTTTTGTGTTTTGAAACTATCATGCAGTGTTGAGTTATTTTTAGTGACTAAATGAAGAAACTAGTGTGTTGAGAATTTAAGATTCAAATTGAAGAAAATCTGAGGCAGAAATTTGAGTTTTAGAGTACTTGCTGTTTTTTTAAATTTTATTTTATTTATTGATTTTGAGAGAGAGAGGGGAAGAGAAACATTGATTTGTTTTTCCACTTATTTAATGCATTCGTTGGTTGATTCTTATATATGCTCTGACCAGGGTCAAACCTGCAATCTTGGCATATTGGGTTGACGTGCTAAACAATCATGTATATTGTTTTTCTTATCTCTATCCAATATTTAAATCCTTGGAAAATAATTCTTAGCACCTTTTTTTTTTTGATCAGTCCTTTTGTGGCAAAAATTAAAATAACTGTAAGACCTGTCAGGAAACTTTATGCTTATTAGTAAAAGGAAAACATTCAATAAGCTGAAATGCTGACTTGTACTTATTTTACTTATAAGAATATCAGAAGACATTTAAATAGCTATGCTACTTTATCAAATCTTCTTGCAGTTTTCTGTTTTTATTTTTTGTCTTAAAAAGCATTGGGAAGAAATTCATTTTCCAGAAGTATTTCCAATTACTTAAGGAAAGTAAATGATTTTCTTATCAGTATCATCTTGTTTTCTAATTTGTCTTAGCTTGTTGTGGTACTTATAAGAATATCAGAAGACATTTAAATAGCTATGCTACTTTATCAAATCTTCTTGCAGTTTTCTGTTTTTATTTTTTGTCTTAAAAAGCATTGGGAAGAAATTCATTTTCCAGAAGTATTTCCAATTACTTAAGGAAAGTAAATGATTTTCTTATCAGTATCATCTTGTTTTCTAATTTGTCTTAGCTTGTAGCTAGGAAGTTTTTAGATGATCAAGCAGAACTTTCCCAAGAAGATGCAGAATGTGTTTCATCAGATGAAAATGATGATTCTGAAAATGAAAAAGATTCCTCATTACTTGACTTCTTAAATGATGAGACTCAACTTTCACAGGCCATAAATGGTAAATGATGCTTCTTTTTCTTTTAATTTTCAATGCTTTTATGTGGTTTTAGTTAAATATTTTAGTTACTTTTCAAATAACCTTGACTTTAAAGGGAATTAAATTTGGTATGACTGAAATATTTGGTCATTTTCATTCAAATTCTATAATATTTGCTTTATTTTAGATTTGGTTATTTATAGGCTTTTGCTAATTTGATTATTTATCTCCAGAGCAACCTGGCTGACCCAGTATCAAATGTTTATATAACAAGTATGTAGTTCCTATTGTGTCTAGTACTATGTAACATTCTTGAGGAAGCTATATTAGTGAACAAAATGGACAAAAATCTCTGCCTTTAACGTTTGAATGGAGGGAGAGAAACAATACACATAATAACTAAATTATTTAGTATAAGATGAAAAATTTATAGAGAAATGAAAAAATGGAGTAAGTTGAGTAAGTTGAGGATTTGCAGGGGTTTGGAGGATTAATACTGGACAAGCTGTAATTTTATATAGGGTATGGAGGGTAGACCTCATTGAGAAGGTGACACTTCATCAAACTCCAGAGGAGATGAAGAGGTTAGCAATATGGATTGTGCAAACAAGCTGAGGCACAAAGCTCACTTTGTTAAATTTGCCAAGGAGGGGAGATGTACTTTTGGTAAATACTCTCTCCAAACAGTGCTGGAGCAGATCTTATACACAATACATTAAAAGAAGATGAAAAAAAAAAAAAGAAGAAGATGATTCAAATGGGCTATAACTGAGGAGAGGAAGATTCTGTTGGGCTTTTCAGTGTTTTGATCTTTTACAGATCTTGCCACTTATTCTGCTCTTGTAATTCCTGATATAATTTAAGACAGCAAAGTTTCCCAAGGTCCATGCCTTTATTTTATTTTTTAATCACTTATAAAGATTGATTTTATTTAATTAATTTATTTTAAATGTATTTTTATTGATTTTAGAAAGAGGAAGGGAGAGGAGATAAAAACATCAATGATGAGAATCATTGATCAGCTGCCTCCCTCATGTCCCCTACTGGGTATTGAGCCTACAATCTGGGCTTGTGCCCTGACTGGGAATTGAACTGTGACCTCCTAGTTCATGGGTCGACACTCAACCACTGAGCCACTCCAGCCGGGCTTAAATTGATTTTAGAGAGAGATTGATTTGTTGTTCCACTTACTTATGCATTCATTGGTTGTTTCTTGTATGTGTCCTGACCAGAGATTGAACCCACAACCTTGGTGAACTGGGACTATACTCTAACCAACTGAACTACCCTGCCAGTAACAGTTCTTGCCTTTAAAGGAAAAAGGTCTTAAAGACAAAGTTTTCAGTGCTGTATCATTGATACCGATATAATTTACAGAATAAGGTTGCTTGGTATTGTACTTGATATTTATTAATAGAAGTGGCTATTGCAGGTTTATAGGATAATCTGGTTGGAGAATATTGATGCATAGACAACAACCAGTTTAAAGGTCCTGAGACAGGAGTGTGCCTGGCATGTTCAAAGAAGGCATTGTGCCTAGAGTTGAATGAGGAAGAGGGAGAGTAGTAGGAAGAGAGATCAGAGAGGTGCTGAGCAACCAGCTCATGATTTGACTTATTGTAGCCGTGTCACTCTTCCTTCTGTGTTGAGAATGGCCTATAGGGGAGCAAAAGTGGAAGAGACCGTTTAGCAGGCTATAGCAGTAATCTAATCAAGGAGTGATAGTGGTTGCTACCAAGGTGTTGGCAGTGAGAGGGTGACAGAGATTGGATTCAGGATATGTACAGCTGACAGGATTTTCGATGGATTAGAGAGGAAAAGAGGAGTCAGTGGGCTTGAGCACAGGGGGGATGTCGTTGCTGCTCTCTGACATTGGAAGGCTGCCTGTGGAGCAGTGGGGTTGAAGAGTAGAGAGATCTGAAACTCCATGTTAGACACAGTATGTTTGAAATACGTAGGATTTCAAAGTGGTTTTTTTTAAACCTCAAAATTCACATTTTTTTCATGTTTCATTTTCAAGTACTCTTTGCTAAAACTTTACAAAATGAGAAGCATAGGAATCTCACATTATGCTTAGTGAAAAAAGCCAGATTCAAAAGGCTACATACTATATACCTTAATTTATACAACATTTTGGAAAAATAAAACTGTAGGGATAGTAAATAGATTATGGTTGCCATAACAATGCATTTGTCAAGACTCAGAACTGGTACCCTAAAGAGTATGAATTTTACAGTATATAAATTATATCTAGAAACAATCTGAAACAAATGAAAAAAAAAAACTCTCTGAAAGCTCCTTGATTTTGAATCCTTCTGAACATTAAACTGGAAGTAAGGGTCTCATTAAGTTTGTAGGGATTTAGCATGAGTCAGGAGGATATCTAATAGTTGAAGATAAGGGAAATAGTTTTAAAGAAAAATTTATATATCTTGTAGCAAGCACTATAGTCTTCAAATTAGTAGTCACCCCTCAAAATAGATGATGTCAATTAATCACTCTAAAATGTAGGAGAAATGGGAAACAAAAATTAAGTTGCTTTCTGATTATAACCTTGAACATATAGGCATAAATAGAAAATTGTGTGCTTTTCAGATTTAACTTGACTGAAAATAATGAAACACACATACTATTGTCTGGTTTTTATTGTTTTTGACTGTTTTTTGGCCTGGATTCCTTGTGTTTTACCAAATACTTTCTATAAATCAGCTACAGTCCTGAGGTCTCTGTATACACTTATTTTTTTTCATGAAAAGGCACCATGCTAATCCTCATTTTCAGAGGAGAGAGATAGCTAAGGTAGAGCACTTAAATAAATTGTCTGTGATCACCCAACTAGATGGTCTGATTTCAAACGCAAAACTTCTAACTGCATTTTAAATAATTGTTTTTAGACATCTTTTTATACATTAAAAGCGTTTTGTGTAAAATAATTCTACAAGGTTTGAATCATGTGAATTTGGAATAGGTCAAAGTTAAATACTTTTCTAGTTTTCATTTAAATCATTTTGCTATTTGAAATTCTTATTATCTTTACACAGATTCTGAAATGAGAGCTATTTACATGAAATCTGTGCACAGTCCATTGATGAGCAGCCGGTACAAAATGGTCCATAAGAAACATAACAACATAAACATTTTCTCACAGGTATAAACTCCAGAGATATAGTAGAGAATTTCCTGAGGTGATGTTGAAATATTTTCCTATTAATGAAATCTCCATTTTATTTCTAAAACTAAACTATCAGAGTTACTTGGGTTAATTTCTGCTCTGAATTAGGAAGGTGGACTAAATGAATGCTCAAAATCCCTTTTAGTCCTTATTTTGATCAAATTATTCTTTCTTTAATTTCAGTTAATTAGCATATGCCATTAAATTATTTTCTAATTAGGAGAATGTTTAAAGGAAGTTCATCACCTACTCATTAAATTTTTTTAAAATATGTTTTTATTGATTTTTTGAAGAGAGGGAGAAAGAAGGAGAGAGAGAAACATCCTTTGGTTGCCTCCCTCATGTGTCCCGACTGTGGATTGAACCTGAAACTGGGTATGTGCCCTCACCGGGAATCGAACTGGTAAGTTTTTGGTACATGGGGGGGACATTCAACCAACTGAGCCGCACCAGCCAGGGCAACTAGTTAAATTTTTAAAAAATATATTTTTATTGATTTCAGAGAGGAAGGGAGAAGGAGAGAGAGATAGAAACATCAATGATGAGAAAGAATCATTGATCGGCTGCCTCCTGCAAGCACCCTTTTAATTCTTATATGTTGAAACTTTTTTTCATAAAAATGTTAATTCTAAAAATTATAGATTATTTTTTATTTATGGTTAACATTTTTATATTAGTCTTATTTGTTTATAAATTGACATGTTCATCTGGGTAATATAGTCATTCATTTTTTTTCATGTCCATTGTCTTTATTATATAGCACTTACCACATTGCTTATATATTACTGTTTATTTTTTCTGGCTACCTACACTAGACTGTTAATTTCTAGAGGGAAGAGAGTTATATTGTTTTTATCTCCAAAGTCCCTACTTTCTTCCACAAAGACTATATTCAGTATATGTTAGTTGAACAAATGACTGAATTAATAAAGTTAAATAAGTATTGATAAATATCTCATGTATTTAAAAGAATATGTTAACTACAGGCTGATTTTATGAAAGAAATTTGTAATTTTCCCCCATTAATTTCAGGAGAAAAAGGGAGGGAGGGAGGGAGAGAGAGAGAGAGAGAGAGAGAGAAAGAGAGAGAGAGAGAGAAAGAGAAACATCAATGATGTGAGAGAATCATTGATTGGCTGGTAAATGATAAAACAGAATCCATGGGGAAAGGGGGTGAGATCGAGCCTGCAGCAACCCAGGCATGTGCCCTTGGCCTGAATTGATCATGGGACACTTTAGTCGGCAGGCCGAAGCTCTATCCACTGAGCCAAACCCTAGGGCATGTAATTTCTTATTTGTATTTTTATTGTAGATTCCTGAACAAGATGAAACCTATTTAGAAGACAGTTTTTGTGTTAATGAAGAGGAGTCTTGCAAAAGTCAATCAAGTGAAGAAGTGTCTGTTGATTTTAATTTAATAACTGAAGATTGCTTTGCAAATGGGAGTAAAAAATATAAAACCCGACGTTCAGTAAAGCTAAAACAAAAGAAGATGGGACCGAATTGTGCACGTTCCAAAAAGAAATTATCCAGAATTATTTTACTGGATGATTCAAGTGAGGAGGAAAACGTAAATGATAAAACAGAATCCAATATTGTGATTAACGCAAGCACTTTTAAAAAGAGCAAACAACAGGACCATGGTTTGAATTCAGTGTATTCTGGGTCTTCCTTGCAGTCCAAGAACCATTCTAATCCAATTGTTAATCAATTGCCAAAGCAGAGACAACAGACACTACTTAATGTAAAGGATATGGCTTCTTATGCCTTGGGCTCCAAACCTCAGAGCCGAAATAAAATTGAATCTTTCTCACCATCATTCACTGCTGTTGATTCACAGAAGGACTGTAGAAATTTTCCAATTCAGTTGAAGGTATGGAGCAAAGTAGAGGAAAAAGCCTTCATATGTTTACCAAAAGTTGTTTTTGTTTTGTTTTCCTTTCTTGTATGTTTGTGTTAAATAACTAGGTCAAAGAAAAATTAGCTAATGTTGAAATTCTTCAAATAAGAAAATAGCATTAAATTTTATGGGTAATTCAGATATGGGTGCTTAGGCTATAATTTTTTAAATATGGTAATAGTTTTCTTAATAACACTGTAAGGAAACTTGCTAATTTCATTAAAAGGCTGTAGAAAAATGACCTTTCTGCAAGGTAAATTTAATAGAAATTACATACTCAGAACTAGGCCCAGCACCCTGATTAACTTTTCTTTCCCCCACTTAAGGCTTCAGGTATGTAACTCATCTCTTTATTGGGGAGAGGAGTTTACGGGCACTACCTAATTTCCTTCCTTCCAGAATGGCTGAGGAGTCCAGTTTCCAGCTTCCCCTATTTTGCTGTTGCTTAAATAATCCTTAACACCATTTTCAGTTTTTAAGAGTTTATAGTTAAGTAGTTTTACTAAAATAGGAATTAGAGTCATAGTACTAGGAATTCCCTAACTGTAAATATTGATTTATTTCCTTAATTGTCATTTAGGAGTGAGACCTAGACCCAGACTTCTTTCTCTTTTATTCCAGGTATTTCAGTCTATTCTGCCTTACCAATATGCTACAATGTCCACACAACAGCTCTTAAATTGGCCTGTTTTAAATTGTCCTCAGGCTTTTATTGCCCAAAGTTATTTCTCAAAGGTACAATTAGGATAAAGGAACTAGATTACATTTTATAATAGATTGGAGATCAATTTCTCTGAGCCTCAGTTTCCTCAGCTATAGAATACAGATAGTAATCCCAAGGGTCACGGTAGGCAATATATGCGCAGTACTTTGAAGGCCTGTAAACACTATCTACATTTCCACTGTGGCCTGCTCTAACTGAAAAACAGACATAGGCTAGTAATACTCTGAGGATTGTGGAAAAGATACACAGATTTTAACTTGAATGGGTTTTAAATTTTCTTCTATACCCAGTACTACAATTCTAGAAAATATGATTCTTCATACTTGAAATTAGAAGGGGAAAGACTTTGAGGTAAATTTGAGTAGACAGAACACAGACTAAATATCTGTCAAAAACTGTACTTTGTCATGTATATTGCAAACAGCATTCCTTGTCTGTCATTTACCTTTTTCTTTTGTTTGTAGTAGTTTTGCCATAGGAAGAGGTACTTTTTTATACAGTTGCCATTATTTTCTTTATAGTTTCTGACTTCATTGTCATGTTTAGAAAGCCGTTTTCTACTCCAAGATAAGTACATATTTCTGGTATTTTTTGTTTGTTTGTTTTTAGTGGCCATTTCTTCATTACACTTATTCTTTTTTGTGTTTTGAAATTGAATATTGAATGTATTTTAAAGATTAGTTCTGAGTAATTATGACATCTATATTTAGCTTAGGAGGTAGGAAGCTGGAAAGAGCATTGTTCTCTTCCGTGTAACAATAACCATTAAAAAATCCAGATAATCTACAATATCAGAGATTTATTTTTATTGGAGTTGAGGTTGCAGGACAACCAATTAGTCTGATATCTAAGGAGAGACAAGTGCTTTCAATGAGAGACTTGATGAGACTTGGGAGAGTCACTGGCACTGTACTGTCTGGGAAGAAGAATTTAGCTAAAACTTCATTGCAAAAGGCAGTGAACTAGCATGAGCGTTTAGAATCCCTGGAAGTTGCAGACATAAGGGGAATTTGCAACCACTCCTGCACTCTTCTTCACAGACTCACCAGGTGTTCACAGGGAAGATTGAGAATCAGAAAACCTTTTTCCTGCTGCAGGAAGTGATCAGCAGTTCCTGTGGAGAAGGCACCAAAACTCATTGTTCCTTCTCCCCTATGGAACAAAAAGCTTTAAGCTTTAAGCCATTAGGGATAGAACAGCAAACCCTAAGGGCTTAGGCCAGTGGTTCTCAACCTTCCTAATGCCTTGACCCTTTAATACAGTTCCTCATGTTGTGGTGACCCCCAACCATAAAATTATTTTTGCTGCTACTTCATAACTGTAATTTTGCTACTGTTATGAATTGTAATGTAAATATCTGATATGCAGGATGTATTTTCATTGTTACAAATTGAACATAATTAAAGCATAGTGATTAATCACAAAAACAATATGTAATTATATATGTGTTTTCCGATGGTCTTAGGGGACCCCTGTGAAAGGGTCGTTCAACCCCCAAAGGGGTCACGACCCACAGGTTGAGAACCGCTGGCTTAGGCAAAGACCCTTTGCAGATGGAGGAAGGACACAACAACAACAAAATTCCATAGCCGAGAAAGTGTCAGGAAAACATCTTGGGCTAGAACATTAGGGATCTCCAGTCCCTAGGAGGCAGGGCAAGATCACTGAGAAGGTTCCACCTCTGAGACTGGGACACAAGTCCTGCTCAAGACAGGCTGAACCAGGACAATATGAATACCCCCCACTACCCTTCCCTCACTATCCTCTCCCCCCTCCTGGCCCCAACAAGATGCTCCTAGTGCTCCCTCCAGCCAGGCTAGCAAGCACTAAGTAACAAATAAAAGCAATCTGCTGACTGGAATGACGGAATGGGAAGAGAAGCTTTCTGAGGCTCAGGCTCACAGAGAAGACCTAAAGCTGAGAGGACATTGAGAAAAATTATCTGGCAGCTCACCCCACCCTAATTACAAAGTAGCACTACCAAGTTTAAAGCCTCTGGTTGTACCTAGAGTAATCATAGCAATAAGAAAATCCAAACCCAACGAAATGTTTGACTAGGTTTACTCAACCGCACACCCTAAGTAAGGCCTAGCAAAAGAAAAGCATACCTGTTTCTAGGCATAAATACTATTTGTTCAGTTACTGCTGTCCTACACAAGATGTTTGGATTTCAACCAAAAGTTACAAAGTACATAAGAGGAAGAAAAAAACACGTGTTTAAGAACCACACTCCCGATACGACCTATCAGAATCAGACAGGGAATTTAAAATAGCCAGCCAGGATTTATATGTTAAAGGCTTAAACAAAAATGCATGAATAGATAGGGAATATCATCTAAGAAATGAAAAATATAAAGAATAATAAAATGGAAATGCTAGAAATGGAAAACATGGTAAAAGAGATAAAGGTTGTCTTCAATGGGCCCATCATAGACCCAATACAGCCATAAAAACAACAAACAAATTTAAAGCAAGGACAATAGAAATTACCCAAGCTGAGAAACAGTGAAAAAACGAATGGAGCATCCAAAAGCTGTGGGACTGTATCAATAGGCTAACATACATGTAATTGGAATTAAGAGCAAAGAGGGTAAGAGATATATTTGACCAGGCAGTGGCTGAGAATTTCCCAAAATTAATGAGCATTGGTATACAAGTATATGAATGTGTTTTGACTACTTTGGGAAGTATTTCCACCTAGGAGTGGAATTACTGGGTCATATGGTAATTCTGTGTTTAACTTTTGGAGGGTATACCATTTTATATTCCCACCAGCAAAGTATGTTCAAGTTTTTTCACATTCTCATCAACACACACACACACACCCTTTTTAAAAGAATTGTAGTTGTCCTACTAGGTTTCCGTGAATGGCGGCTTGGTTCTTCATCTATATAGTTGGTTTGGCCATGTTGAAGAAAAAAGAGTATCAGTAAAGAAAATCATCTTCGGGCTTATGGTGCTAACATATATTTAACCTGTTTATGATCGATGTTTTCTGCATTTTCAGGTTGGTAGTTCTTTGGAAGATTCTAGCACTTCAACAACTTACAATTCCAACTCAAGACCATGTTTGGCTGGCACACATGCTTCTTTTAGACTCCCACAGGAAGGCCAGAGAACTTGTATTCTTGTAGACAGCCGTGAAATCACTTCTGGTTCAGAAATAATTTCTTCCCTAAGAGCAATTCATGGCTTTCAAGTAGAGGTTTGTCCTCTTAATGGTTGTGATTACATTGTGAGTAACCGCATGGTGGTGGAAAGGAGGTATCAATCTGAGATGCTAAACAGTATTAATAAAAACAAGTTCATTGACCAGATCCAGTACCTACAGAGCATGTTTGAAAGAATATGTGTGATTGTGGAAAAGGACAGAGAAAAAACAGGTTTGTATTTTTAAATGTTTGTTTATAAATCTGTAAAGGAACTTGATTAAATTAGTTCAATCTATTGTCAGGATGTGGAAAGCTCTTACAATACCTGACTCATTTCATATGTACATAATGTTTTTCAGTAGTAGTTGTGTTTAAATGCAGCTTATGAATTAAAGGGTGATAAATTGAAGGCAAGTGAACCAAGCGTAAGTCTTTTTAAGGTGCCCCAGAAAAATGAGGGCCTTAAATAAAGCAGTGGCGGGGAAAAAGCATTCAGGAGTTTTAGGAAGCAGGATTAACAGGAGTTGGTGGGGTTACTCTTAAATTGATTAATTTTTTGGTTATTGGACAGTTAGGTAGTGGTGCTGTTTATTGATATTATAAACATGAGAAGCAGATTTGAGGGACAAGATTGAGTTCTCAATAGGTCACTGAAATGGATGCCGAGGATGCATTTGGAAATGCAGAATTGGAGCTTCATTTGGGGAATTACTATGGGAGTCACTGAGAATAGTGAAAGGATCATGGGAAATGAAATCATAAAATGCACTGAGTTCTGGTGTCTATATCTATGTGATGTTGCATTGAAAAATCACTCCCTCTGAGGAGTTAATATACTTGTGATGTTATGAGGATTAAGTGAAATCATGTAGGTGAAAGCGACTATTCAAGAATTCAAGATTGTACAGTCATTAAGTAAAAGGAAAAAATGTAGTTTATGTAAAACACTAGAGGCCCGATGCACGAAATTCATGTAAGAGTAGGCCTTCCTTCCCCCGGCTGCCGGCACTGGCTTCCCTCTGGCACCCGGGACCCAGACTTTCCTCACAGCCCCAGCTTTGTCTAGATAAGGTTGTCCAGAAGGACATCCCTCTTGCAATCCGGGACCATTGGCTCCTAACCGCTCATCTGCCTGCCGGCCTGATCCCCCTAACTGCTCTCCCCTGCCAGCCTGATCGCCCCTAACAGCCCCTGCCTTGGCCCCGCCACCATGGCTTTGTCCAGAGGGGCGTCTGGAAGATGTCTGGTCTAATTAGCATATTACCCTTTTATTAGTATAGATTTGTTTGGTAATTGAACAATGTACCTTTTTATCCCCATGCTTTCACTGGTGAACCACATAATCTTGGACAAATAACTGTATCTTTCAGTAATCCTTTTTATTTTTTAGTTTAACAATTGAGGGCTTTAGATTAGGTGATCTCTTGGGTCCTTTTACTTCTAAAATTCAGTAATTTAATCTTTATCAACATATTTTGAAGTATATTGGAGAGTAATATGTCAAAAGTTATAGAAAAGTACCTTTCTTTGGCATATAAAGAATGCCCAAAAGAAAATATAGGTAATATGTGGAAAGAAAATAAGTGGGAAAGTTAGGGGAGTAAATTAATAGGCAAGAGTTAAAGATAACATTAAAATGGGTGTGTAGAGTATTGAGTTACTCTTGGAATAAATACGTAAGATAATTTTGTATCAGTTAAACTGAGTTCATCATTGCTAGTAGCATTATGAAAAATTTATTAGAGTCAAGTAATGTGGCCTTGGCTTTAGGAATGAATTATCTATGAATATAAGCTCTTCCCTGCCTACCCACCTTCCTATGTTGATTCCAATTCAAGACACTCATAAAGACAGTTTCCATATTTTATCTCAGAACCTTTAAATCTTTAGCTGTAGGGCTTATCAATAAATAATGTGGCACTAGTTTTTTTTAATGGTGTAGATCTTGGGATTTTAATATATAGTATTCTGATTCTAGTTAATGTAAGTTACTAATGTTTGCATTTTCCTAAACATGAAATATTTAGGAGACACATCCAGGATGTTTAAGAGAACAAAGAGCTATGACAACCTGCTGACTACCTTAATTGGTGCTGGAATTCGAATTCTTTTCAGTTCCTGCCAAGAGGAAACTGCAGATTTGCTAAAGGAACTGTCTTTAGTGGAGCAAAGAAAGAATGTTGGTATTCAAGTTCCAACAGTGAACAGTAATAAATGTGAAGCACTTCAATTTTATCTAAGTATTCCCAATGTAAGTTATATAACTGCATTAAATATGTGTCACCAGTTTTCTTCTGTTAAAAAGATGACCAACAGGTATGTTTGTTTTAATATTTTTAAATGGTTACATTTAAATGATTCTTAGAAGCATTTTTGGAAATTTTAATATATTTTTTAAAAGGTATAGGCTAGTCTGTTAGAGTATTTCATTCAGTAGAGACTTTTTTCTTGCCAACATGTAAGTCACTGCATGAAGCTGAGACCATTAATTGGGGGGGGGGCGCCGGAGACAGACATTGTCTTTGAAGAGTTTAGAGCTCTATAGGAAACTAGACAGAGAGCATTTACATGGAATGTTGTAATCTAGCACTTCTAGGAAGAGATGATTTTCTTAAAGGCTTTTATGTTTGGTGTTCTTTAAGCAAGATAATAAACTTTGTAAGTCAAAAGTTCTAGTGTAATTTTTTTTTTTAGAGATTAAAGTGAAAGTTTATTAGTGAAACAGCGAGAGAAGGGCTACTCCACAGACAGAGCAGCCATGTAATGGTTTTTCTTGGTCTAATTTATTTTTCAGCTCACCTCAAGAAATCTCCATGTATGCACAAGTAACTCATCAAAAGGCTGAGGAGATCTATAGGTATATTCACTATGTATTTGATGTGCAAATGATACCAAATGGCCTTAACCAAAGTAGATTGGAAGCTGATGCATGACCAGACCACTCAGAGGTGCAGTTATCAAAGAACTCTCACAACACTAAATGTACTTCAATAATCATTGTTGTGGTTTGTGATTCTAAGTTTAAAATATGTAAATAAGAGAACATATCCATATCTACTATTTTATATTGTGTATATTTTTATTTACATGTTATATTTTTAAAAATATGTATAATAATCATTTGGTTAATTGGACTATGAAACTATGTTTATTGAATAATAAAAGGTCATTGAAGGTGCAATTAAGAAAGTAAAAGCTAGAGTTCGAGATATATTTTGAAATTTTTCCAAAGATTTTTGTACTATCAACATTTGTTAGCATAATAGGTTGATGCATCTGATCACTGCCAACTTAATGGTCATAAACAATTTTTCCTATAATATCTAGAATATTTTAAGTGTCCTGAGTCTACATACATATTGGATCAAGTGTGGGTATATTATGAGATAAGTGCCCCAGTAACTAGGAAATTAGAAAGTGTAAATGAGTATGTTTACCTCATCAAAGGTGATCCAATCAAGTAGTCAAATCCTATTAGTATAAACTCTAACATACACTACTTGTTTGGTTGTTGTAGAAATATCATTTTCAAAGAAGTGATATATTGTCTTGGACTTGGAAAATTTTTCATAGATGAGCTACTGAATATGGACTTTCATTGTGACCCATTCTTGTTTTTGTGATGCTATTCATGTTTTAAGATGACTCCATATTATTATCTGCAACAGCTGAGGCCCTTCTGTCTAGTCCAGTGGTTCATTCCCCACAGGGGGGGCAATTTGATTTTTAAGGGGGACAATTTGAGAATTAGTTTTTTTTCCCCCCCTAACATTCTTTTTTAAAAATTAATCTTTATTAATAAAAGAGGGATATTACAGATGTCCCTCTTTTTTCCCTCCATAGCTCCCCTCCCCTCGGTTCCCACCCTGCCCCAGGCCCCCACCACCCTATTGTCTATGTCCATAGGTAATGCATACATGCATGTAAAATCTTGGTCTGATCTCTTCCTGCACCCCCTACGCCCCCTTCCCTCTGAGAATTGTCAGTCTGTTCCATTTCCATGCTCTTGATTCTATTCCATTCATCAGTTTATTCTGTTCATCGGATTTTTTTATTCTTTTGATTTTTAGATTCAATTGTTGATAGATAACATATTTGGTGGTGATGAACTCCTTCCTTTAGCTTTTTCTTATTTGTGGAACTCTTTATCTGACCTTCAATTCTAAATGATAGCTTTGCTGCATAATCTTGGTTGTAGATTCTTGCTATCCTTCACTTTGAATATTTCTTGCCACTTCCTTCTGGCCTGCATAGTTTGTTGAGAAATCAGCTGACAGTCGTACTCCCTTGTAGGTAACTGACTGTCTTTCTCTTG